TTGGGGGGGGGGGGGGGGATTACATTTGTGATGTTCCCAGTTAAAAATGACCAGCCTACAAAAAATTGCTCATAAATTTCTCTTTAAGCTATAATATTACCAAACATTGGTTTTAATCTTTTTATCAACTTGTTTTCTTTTAATTAGCACAGGTTTTATATTTCTTTTTGGAACTGATTGATTGTAGGCCTCTCTGAACATTCATCTTTTACACCTCAGTTTCTGAGTGAACATTGCCGTAATTATCCACAATGAATACTTTTCTCATTCAAAATTGAGGTGTGTAAGAGCAGATCAAGGAGACCAACAATCAATCAGTTCCAAAAAGAAATACAAAACCTGTACAGACTGAAAGAAAAACTGACAAAAAAATTGAATCTAAGATTTGGTGATGATATAGCATATTGACAGATTTTTTTTTATTTTTTTTTTACAATTAATTAATTACAATTAAAAAAAACATTTATTTGGTAAAGGATTGTCAGCACAGCACAAGGGTTAAGGAACTGTGTTTCTCATTGTACCTTTTTGTCAAATTTTTTGTTTCTCCTCTTGACGTGCTTGACTTTTATAGCTTTCTTCCGTGGGACAGGGCTGTAAAGTGGGCCGTCTTCATCATCACTGCCCCATGACTTAAAAAAAAAAAGAAAGAAGGGTGAGGTTTGTCTACGAGTGCTAGACCTAAAGCATCATCCCCATCAAGCATATCTCACAAAAATACTCAGGTTAAAATATATATTCTAACCTGACAAGTTCAAAGAAATGTATATACTAAGTGGTTGTGGTTGAGCTACAGCAATTAGTGGTTACCGCATTTCTGCCCTTGTAATATGGCTCCATATCGTTCTCATCATAATCATCTGAGTATCGTCTATCCCTGTGCATTATATTGTCCTTCCTTTCACACAGAGAAAACTCCTCGTCTCGAACACGCAGCATTTTCTGCAAAAACATTGAGAGAGAAAATTAACTACAAAACAAAAACAAAACAATAAACCACCTAAATATAAAGAATCTTACCCGTGCACGGACAACACACTGCCTTAGACGACATTTCTGACGAATCTTGTTTGGGCCGCCAAATTTCTTCATGTCTTTACAGAAGTCGCATTGACCACAGTCCTCCGTCCTAGTGCAGGGTTCACATTCACCACACATACGGGCAGAGCGCTTCACCTGGAATGCAGTTCGTAGACAATAATATTTTTTACCTTTGTTCTTTTTAACAAAAAAGTTTAATGGAGGTTACAAGGTATATTTAA